AACCAGTAGGATTAATGTATCAGTAGTAGTAGGTAGTAGTAGCATTGTAAGTGCCGAAAGCATCCTTTGTTTGACCATCCACATTCATCGTATGTTTTTGAGACTGTCTTCCTCCCACTTCTCATTAAACGGGTTTCCTACTGGCCATTGCTGTCGCCCATGGCCTTCTCATCCCCCGATGAATGCGCCGATGGCAAAGGGAAGAGCCCGCCGAGTAAGACCAAAAGGTCCAGGAAAGTTCAGTTGGCCGCCAATGCAGCAAAGGTAAGATAAGACGCAGAGTTTGTCCAGACACGTCACATTCATGTCTGTACGATGCGATGCGCCCTCGCACGTCCTCCGTGATGGCAGCTTTTGGCGGCTCACGCGCAAACAGGCGGACCTGTTCACCTGTGAACATCGCCGAATCATGGAAAGGTATCTCATCCGCAAAGTTGGTTCTTGGCCCAGTCAGGAAGAGAAAGCGCTGCAAAAGTCAGAACGACGCACGGAAAGACAAGCCCATGTCAAGGACACGGTGTTGTTTGGCGGCTTGCTGCTCGATCATCTGTCGCATTGGCATCCGTGCCGCGAGGGAATTGAGCTTGAACTGAACGCACCGAGTCTGGAAGATGCCTGGTCGCTTCTTCAGCTCAGCGGTACTTGTAAAGCGGGCGCTCGCTGCTTCCACTCGGCTGGGCTGCAAGCCCTGGTGCACCATCTCAGCAAAGTCAAACGGTGCTTAATGAGGCACACGGCCCGCTTGGAGGAGATCCTGCTGAACTGGCTGCAGATCGCCGACCGGACACTGACGGAATGGCCCCAGTTCTGATCCGCACCAGCACGTGCCGCGAGAGCACTTCGCATGTGGCGCGCCGAGCAACAAATACAGAAACAAACACTCGCCGCCTATTTGAATTGTCCCGGCCCGTTTCATTGCAGCCGTCGCCATGAAGTGCGCCGAAGACCCGAACCGACAAAAGAGAGGAAAGATCGCAAGCGCAATCTCGCCATTGTACTCAAGACCTCGCAAGAGCCTGTCTCGCGCCCCAAGGTTGACACTTGCACGACAATCGCCGCGATCATTGCGGCTCAAGAGACACCAGCGAAAAGCTAGCAGACTATCGCCAAACGATCCCCCCCCTTCCAGCTTCCCGTCTCGTCAAGCATAGTCTCGAATTTCGGAAGAACCGAGCGAACCTTCTCTGTGCGTCTACTATCTACATCAAATTCAGCATTATTACATCATCCATGTATGCTGCATCAACCTCGCGACGATGATACTCGTCGCTGTGATTTTGGATGATGATGGCAGATGTAGGGTGTACAAGCGATGGCGATGGTGTTCCACAAGAAACAAACGTTTGCGCACGATCTGGTTTATCCCGAATCGGAATGACGATCGTGATGCCGGTATTGGCAACTTTTGCATACCGCCAATTACCTGCCCGCCCTGCCCCTCCCCCTCCCTCTTCCCTTTCGGTTTCCCGCCCAACCTGCTTCGGCATATGTCTGCATCGACTGAGCAAAACCTATTCTTGCGCCTGGTGTTCCACAATAAAAAAACGTTTGCGTGTGATCTCGTTTATCCCGCATCGGAATGGTGATCGCGATACTGGTATTTGCAACTTGTCCACACTGCGAATTACGCGCCCGCCCTGCCCCCCCCCCCCTCGCTCCTCCTCTCCCGACATGCTTCGGTCTATAAGTTTGCATCGACAGAGCAAAACCCGTTTTTGCGCCTGGTATTCCACAAGAAACAAACGTTTGCACACGATTTTGTTCATCCCGCATCGGAATGACGATCGTGATACTGGTATTTGCAACTTGTGCACACCACCAATTACGCGCCCGCCCTGCCCCCCCCCCATAGCCCCAGCCTCAGGACGTGAACTTGTTATGCGACTTGAAAGACACAATGATGCTACTGGTATCTGCAAGTTTCTCGACGGATTCGTGGTTTCCGGGGATCGGCAGGGGTCCCGCCTGGAGGCCCCCCTGCCTCCTGCTATGGATGCCTCTGGGTCGGTGGCCCGCCCCTGCCTCCTGCTGTGGATGCCTCTGGGTCGGTGGCCCGGCCCCTCCCTCCTGCTGTGGATACCACTGGGTCGGTGGCCCGGCCCCTGCCTCCTGCTGTGGATGCCCCTGGGTCGGTGGCCGGGCCCTTGCCTCCTGCTGTGGATGCCTCTGGGTGGGTGGGGGACCTCGAAATCGGCCCTCCGGCCTAATAAAAACGCTATTCTATGAACAGAATTTGTCACCCAAAACACCCACCCCAAAATCCAGGAAATTTGGCTTTAAGTTTAGCAAACCCCCATTCAAGGTTTATTAATAAGGTTTTTCCAAACCCTATGGTTTAGCAAGGGTTTAGCAAACCCTAGGGTTTAGCAAACACCCATTCAAGGTTTATTAACTAATTTAGGGTTTAGCAAACCCTAGGGTTTAGCAAACCCCCATTCAGGGTTTATAAAGGTTTATTTAAGGTTTAGCAACCCTAGAGTTCAGCAAACCCCCATTCAGGGTTTATTAAACCCTAGTTCAGGGTTTAACAAACCCTAGGGTTTAGCAAACCCCCATTCAGGGTTTATTAACGTAATTTAGGGTTTGGCAAACCCTAGGGTTTAGAAAACCCCCATGCAGGGTACAGGACCTGAAGGGTTGTCCTAAACCCTGCAGGATCTGAAGGGTTTCCTTGAACCCTTCAGGACCTGTTTGTATTTTAGGCCCAGAATGGGGGGGACCTCGAGATCGGCCCTCCGGCCTAATAAAAACGCTATTCTATGAACAGAATTTGTCACCCAAAACACCCACCCCAAAATCCAGGAAATTTGGCTTTAAGTTTAGCAAACCCCCATTCAAGGTTTATTAATAAGGTTTTTCCAAACCCTATGGTTTAGCAAGGGTTTAGCAAACCCTAGGGTTTAGCAAACACCCATTCAAGGTTTATTAACTAATTTAGGGTTTAGCAAACCCTAGGGTTTAGCAAACCCCCATTCAGGGTTTATAAAGGTTTATTTAAGGTTTAGCAACCCTAGAGTTCAGCAAACCCCCATTCAGGGTTTATTAAACCCTAGTTCAGGGTTTAACAAACCCTAGGGTTTAGCAAACCCCCATTCAGGGTTTATTAACGTAATTTAGGGTTTGGCAAACCCTAGGGTTTAGAAAACCCCCATGCAGGGTACAGGACCTGAAGGGTTGTCCTAAACCCTGCAGGATCTGAAGGGTTTCCTTGAACCCTTCAGGACCTGTTTGTATTTTAGGCCCAGAATGGGGGGGACCTCGAGATCGGCCCTCCGGCCTAATAAAAACGCTATTCTATGAACAGAATTTGTCACCCAAAACACCCACCCCAAAATCCAGGAAATTTGGCTTGAAGTTTAGCAAACATTCAAGGTTTATTAATAAGGTTTTTCCAAACCCTGTGGTTTAGCAAACACCCATGCAAGGTTTATTAACTAATTTAGGGTTTAGCAAACCCTAGGGTTTAGCAAACACCCATGCAGAGTTTATTAACTAATTTAGGATTTAGCAAACCCTAGGGTTTAGCAAACCTCCATTCAGGGTTTATTAATTCTTAATTTAATGTTTAGCAAACCCTAAGGTTTATTTAGGGTTTACCAACCCTAGAGTTCAGCAAACCCCCATTCAAGGTTTATTAAACCCTAATTCAGGGTTCAACAAACCCTAGGGTTTAGCAAACCCCCATTCAAGGTTTATTAACGTAATTTAGGGTTTAGCAAACCCTAGGGTTTAGCAAACCCCCATGCAGGGTTTATTTAACTCTAATTTAGGGTTTAGCAAACCCTAGGGTTTAGCAAGCCCCCATTCAGGGTTAATTACCGAAAATTCAGGACCCGGAAACCCCCCAAAGCCCCCAAGAACCCAACACCCGATCCAAAAACCTAGAACCCTAGCCACCGAAACCCCAAAAAAACTTCGCGAACTCAAAAAAACCTCCAAAAACCCAAAAAAAACCTCCGAAAACCCCAAAAAAACCCCCCAGTTTAATATTCTCAAAAACGCACCCCGCACACGAAGCAAGCTCTAAACCCTAAACCCTAAACCCTAAACCCTAAACCCTAAACCCTAAACCCTAAACCCTAAACCCTAAACCCTAAACCCTAAACCCTAAACCCTCTCTTTCATATGTATATTTAAACCCTGTAAGGGATTTTGGCCTTTTCGGGCCCAACCCTGTAGCCGATTTTGGCCTTTTCGAGCAACCCTGTCGGGGATTTTGACGGGCATTCTGCATTTGGGCCTGGATCCCGAAATGCATACCACAGGGCCCAGAATGCATATTACGAAATGCATGTTCGCGGAAATGCATATTTGGAAATGCATATGTGGAAATGCATGTTGCCGAGAATGCATATTACGAAATGCATGTTGAACAGGCATGGTGGTGGAAATGCATATTTGCAAATGCATATTGGGCCAACGGTTGCCGGCCTAACCAAATGCACGCCAGTCACGGCCCCAGGCTCAAGGTGAATGACTTGTAGCATGTGGCGAGCTCACATGAACAGAAGAAGTTCTGGCCAACAACGGCAAATTATGCTGCACTTTGCTTGAGAAATCCGATTGTTTTGCTGCAGAACCGCCTGCGAGACGAAGGTCTTTGTTTGTTGCAGATCCGACACGACAGCTCTTCAAGTCTTCGCTGAAGTCGGCTGAAGTCTGCACAAAAGATTGGCCACTAAAAGAGCCACAGGCGACCACCAAACCCAAGAGTCAAGCTCACTGCCGCTGAGTGGTATGTGCAAGCTACAGGGCTTGTTGCTAGCTAGGGCAGCTAGGGGACAGCTAGCAGCTAGCAGCTAGCACGATTCAGCAAACCGTACAAAAGTCGCTATAGTACTAGTTTACATTTACAAGAGGCAAGGGAACTATGATTCAGAAAGTAACCTAAGTCCTAAAGAGCAACATAGTGCTGCTAGCCGTCCCGATTTCACACACCACAAGCAGTCGCCGATGGAACGAGTGGCTGGGCAGCTAGCTGCCCCCTGTCAGCAAGCCTTTCAGGCATTGCCAGGCCTTGTACCCATCACTTCCTGTGCCGTAGACCAAAGAACAGGCTGAATCATGTTGTCATCCAAGCCATCCTTCTTGCCAACGATAGCGGCGTGCACATCCTCGAGCACTCGTTTTGCCTTGACCACTTCATCTTGAGGCAACTTGAGTGCAAGTGCAATGACCTGTTCGGCGAAGATCACACGGCCATCCATAAGCAAACGCCTTGAGTCATTGCAAACGGATATGAGGTCCTCGAGGGGTGCTGCGAGCTCGTGCTTGCTGAAAGCAGAGGCTTGGCACGATTCGTGGAAGGCCACGTGGTCGGAGGTCTCCTGCCGGCGCGGTGCAATTTCCAAGATCCACGTTTGGGGGTTTGAATTGGGATTCGGGCTACGGCTACGGCCCAGAGAGAGGTCAGGTAGGTTGCGATCAGACAAATTAGCACAACTAGGTAACTGGTGGCTTCATGCTTAAGGTTTGAGGACAAGGGAGGGCCGGAAGATTGTAATTAGTTACTGCTACTTCGTACTCGAGAAAACTACCGCATCGGAGTCAGAACCGGAGTCTCGGGAGAAATGTTTGGGTAGTGGACTGAGGGCTAGCGGCTAGCTAGCGGCTAACGGCTTGCCGCTCATGATTACGAATTTCTTATCTCTCAATGGCACAAATGACCCTTTCTAAAAATAATTGTATGATTGCCTGTTGAGAGTATGACTATGACTAGGACTAGGACTAGGACTAGGACTAGGCTGGCCTAGTCAAGTCACGGCCAGGCGGCTACTGACTGCTGCTACTGCAACTTAGTCACCATAAACACAAGCCGGTATTCTCCTCATTCGTCGTCATGCTCCGACAACAAAGGCCGCATACTTAGTGACAAAGATCTGGAGATGCACGGCATGAGTGAGTAGTTAGTATTTGCTACTGCTACTGGCTAATGAGACTCCGACCGAACGACAAACAACACCGGTACTGACACTGGAAGGGTTGTCGGGCTGTATTGTATTGTTACCAAGGAAACATTGAAAACATCCAAAGTCTGTCGCACTATGTCGTCGCAATCAATATCGGCGCGGCATGCAACTACAATGGCAACGGAATGTTGTTCGCTGTTGCCGTCACAATTGCTTCGCTGGAAGTTGGAAAGGTGCGGCCCAGATGTCTATGTCAAAGTCGAAGGCCTAGGTCTAGGGCCTAGGGTTATTAGGACCATTATTAATGCAGGGCTTTAGTCCTAGGTCCTAGGTCTATGTGCCCATCGACAATTTCACACGGAGAAACCGGCGCAGAACATTATATATTCACGAACTAGCTGACTGGCTATTGCCTGGACACGGACATTCGTCACAAATGCTGAGTACTAAGCAGGGTTTTGGGGGTTTCTTCAAAGATAACAGGCAACAGATTATGACTATGATTAGAACAGAGTGACAAAAGTGACCACCAGCGGTCACCAGCCGCCACTGGATTATGCTTCAATTTGTGGCCTGGCCTAGGCCTGGGCCTAGGGCCTAGGTCGCAGATTCACTATAACTACATTAACTACATCGACACACACACACACACTGACTGACACACTTACACTTCTGCATTACCGCGCAAGTATGACTGGGCCTATGCCTATAGAATCTATGTCTATGACACTATGAATCTATGAATCCATGAGCCCATGCCGTCACTACGATGCCCCCCGGTAGACTCTACCCGGTCTCCTGGCTGATGGCATCGAGCATCTTGCCCAAGGCTGCTCCACGCTGAGGCAGGGCGACGATTGTCTTCAAGGCTACTTCCAGCACTGCCTCGACTGAGCTGGTATTGTCAAAGCTGCTCTTCCAGCAATTCTCCCCCGTGACTTTGCTCAGCAGCAACTCAAGCTCCCTCACTCGCTTTCGCAAGCTTTCATCGCGCATGCTCAACACTCGAAGTATGCCATCCACAATCACGTCGCACGTGAGGTGTCCAGCAAAGCATCCCGGACTGTCAACCGCCAGCAACTCCAATGTAAGCATCTGAACCCTGCGAGGCTCCTTCGGCTGATCCTGGGCCTTGGCATCAGCGTCAGTGGCCACAGTGGCCTCCACCAACGCCAAAGAAGTCGTGAGAACTCCAACCTCCACCTCCATCGGCGAGGGCTCCGCCGGCTCTGCAGGCTCCGCATCCTCAGTGGCCAACCCGTCTGTGGCCGATCCTTCATGCTGCCGCGATGCTTCCGGTTCCGGTAGCTGCTCGTCCATCTCATTCTGGATGCTGTCAGTCAGCGCCTCGAACGCAGTCCGGAGCTGCACAACGTTTTGCTGAAAAACAGATGAAGTCTTGAGGACACCCTGCAGGCCCACATTGTTTTTGTCGCGAGAAAACCTCATCTCCACATCCTTGCCGGTCTTTTCGAACTCGAAGATTGAACGGGCGAGGGCGGCACCTGACTTCAGGAGGATGGCATGAGTCTTGACCGCCTTTGCCCGCATGTCCTCTGCATTCAAGACCAGTGCCGCCAGACCGTCGATGAGCCCCAATCTTTTGATCATCGTCGTCTGCGTCAAACGGCCCTGCTCCTCCTTGACCTAACAACATGCACAGTGCACAGCCACAAACCCATGGCAAACTCGAGACTGGTGTCATTTCGTAACCGTCGTAATCCTAGCTGCTAGAACCCAGCAGTCCTACTCAGCCTACCTACTCCTAGCTCCTAGTCCTAGCAGTCCTAGCAGTTGCACCAACCCGCTGTTAGCATCAGCAGAAGTAGTAGCTCAATAACAAGGGCCAGGACAACAACGAATGCTGTCTGTCTGTCACTGAACCAAGGCAACACCGGACTGAAATGTAAAACTGTAGAACCAGGTTACAGGTAACAGTTGACTGGATTTCCGATAGCAACAGCATCACGCTACCAGCGGACATCCAGCCCAACCACAAAGGCTACGGCTCCAAACTTTCAAGCGAAAGTGTTCCGTTAAGTGACGTGGATGTAAAGATTCACTGACTCTGGACTCTGGACTCTGGATCAATGGAGTGACTTACACTTACAAGACTTACACGGCACATCGCACCTCCTTCAGCAGGGTGTGGAAGCAGCGCACGACAAGGGAGAGCACTGCCTCATAGACGTCCTCCGTCTTCTCGTCACTCCGGAGTTTGCGCAATCGGGGCATGATGGCCTGAATCTTTGCGAGCTCGGCCAAGCCGTTGGTTTCGGCGATAGCGGCGAGGTCCTTCAGATCCACAAGGGCCATGGACTGGGAGCTGTCGTTGGCCCACTCCTGAACCTGCTTCATCATGTCGGCCATGCTGGTGTCGTTCTGGAAGATGCTCATGCATCTCAGCAACGCTTCCACATCACGGCTTCTCACATCAGGAGCTGAACCATCCAAGATCTTCTGGCTGTAACCGTAGAAGGCATCCCTTGCTTTCTGGATCAAAGGTTGCACATGCACCTGTCGCAGCCCCTCACTCAGCTCCAAAATCTCATCGTGAAGACCTCCCAGCCGCTCTGCTGTGAAGGGCACTTGCTCAGAAGCGAGCTGCTCGATTGAAGACATTGTTCTCAGAAGCTGCGGCTGCAATCTGGTTGTGGTGCCGGCCGTCCGCACGATGTCTTTCGAGACCGCCCTCCATTCGCACTCGGTGTCCACAACATCCCGGAATGTCTTTTCCGGGAAAGCCGCGGGCATCTTCTCCAGCAACCAGGTGAAATCAACACTCGAGGTCGGTGTCATTGGCTCTGGTAGCTCAAGGGCCAAGACACATGCCATGAGCCGCAGCATCTTCTCACATCGCTCCATCGCGGAGCTCAAAGCCTCCCATCCATCCACGAGCATGTCCTCCCCGTCCCGCAGCTTCAAAGCATCTGTCGCCTCCTTCGCGTCAGACACGCCTTGCAGCATGGTAATGATGAAAACACTCATGCCCGGCTGAAACTTCAGAAGCTCTTTGAACACCTGGAAAAAGCTGTTGCAGCCCACAAACTCCAACAGCATCGTTCCGGCATCCTGGTGCAGTGTAGTAAAATACAGCAGTACTGCACCAACAAAAATTGAAACTGTGCCTGTGCCTGCTGCTATTACCCAGATGCTCTCTTACTTAGTTCTTTATGCTTTTGCCTATTTACCGGGACCTACCTACCGGACCTACTGTGGAGCGAAGACTCAGCCGGCTCAGCTCCCTGACATGTCTGGCATGACTCTACCAATCTACACTCTAGACTCTACACTGTTACACTCCACACTGTAGTGACTCTAGTGACTCTAGTACTAGTTACTAGTATTTAGTACGCAGTCCTGCACGATCTTCTTACATTCCGCCACCACAGCATCCATTGTCGCCTGCGCCTTTTCCTCCTCCACCGTGCCCATGGCGATGGACTCAGTCGTTGCCTCCAACTTATCCATGCAAGCATTCAGCAAGGCGCCGAGGCAAGGTGCATCGAACTGCCAATCAGCCTTGCTCAAAGTGGGCAACACACACTCCACGATGATCTGCGAGTTGCTCTCTCGCTGCTGTTGGCTCAGCTCCCCCGTAGTGGACTCGACATCGTCCCCAAACGCCACGAAAGTGCGAATGGCACACATCAAACCCACTTTGGCCTGCAGGCTCCACGTGAGTGACGGAGCGATACTCTCGATCAGCTTCAGGCGGTCATCTGACGGTTCGGCTTCCACCAACGTCTGGGCCGAATTCGTCGAAAGGAGCTGGGTCACTTCACAGCTCCGAATCCGGGAACAAAGCAATCGATACTGCTGGGAGTCACCGGCATACTTCACCATGTTGTCACGGATCTTCTTTGCCTGAGACGCGAAGCCCTCAACAATGAACCTTAAATTAAACCCCAACCCTAACCCGGCCCTAACTGTCTAACTTCCTGCCCTAACTGTCTAAATCAGACTAACATCACTAGTCTGGTCACCACTCGCTCGCTACTCTGATTAGAGTCATTAGATCATTAGAGTAGATTGTAGACTCCAGATTCCAGCAGCCCAACAGCAATAGCATTAGTAAAGTACTTAGGCCAATGCGGCTAAGGCGGCTAAGGCTAGCGGCTAAGGCTTACTTACTAGGCCCCATACGCTTACTACCGGGCCCTGCACACCGAGATTGACTTAAGAGGAAGTCCCAGGGGCACTAAGACACTAAGAAAAATCACTCATAGGTCATATGTCATAGGTGCTGTAAACTGCGTTGTTTCTTCTAGATTCTAGATTCTAGACTTCTAGGACCTAGGATCTCGACTGTATACTCAACTTTATATACTATGGACTTTTGTGACTGTAGACACTGTAGACATTGACCTACGGCCCTAGACCTAGACCTAGGTTTGATTTAGTAGCAGCTACAAGACTCTAAGACTCTAAGACTCTCGGCAGGGCCTAAGCCCAGAACCTAGGCCAGACATGGACCTAGGACCTAGACTCCCTAGACCGCAGGACTACTTGGACCTGGACTTGACTAGACTAGACCAGACTCGACTGGACTGACGTGACTGACTAGGCCGGCTACACCATGGTCACCATAACTCACAATCACCCTCGGTCCTAAGCAAAGGAAGGGGCGGCCTGACAATTGTTACTGTTACTACACTGATACTGCCCCAGACAGACCCGGACAGAAACATCTTCGACCTTACCGACCCTGATCACCTAGGACGTAGGACCTAGGACCTGCCTCGAGCCTGTCTCTCTTCTAATATTCCCCCCCAATGCTTGGGAAAACAGCTGCAGCTACAGCTATGGAGGTGGTCGCTGCTGCTGTTGCAACCTTGCACATACGCCGACATACGTGCGGACGACAGGCTCTTAGACATAGGGTTCTAGCCGGTCCTAGCCGCAGCCTAGCCGCTATAGTTATAGCCGCTCCACAGTGTTGAACATGCCACCATGCGTCGCACATGGACTCTCAGTACTCATACAAGCATACACGCAACACCATCAAAGCTCGAAGCAAGTTGCCAATCAAACTCTGCAAGCAAGGGCTACAATGCTGCTACTACTACAATGCTACAAGGGCTTCTGACAAACAGCCGACTGCAAAACTGATGGCAACAACTGACAGCTTCTGCTACTAATGCTCAGCTACTCCTCAGCTACTCAGCTACTCAAACAATGCTGATCATGCATGGCCGGTCGGCCTGCGGGCACTGTTACAGCTCTTACAGAAACGCCAGCCAAGTTCGGAAAAATGGTCTATCTATCAGACTATCAAACTCTGCACACTTGTGACAAACGAGCGACTTTCATTGCTGCTACTAATGATACTAATGAGTGCTCTGCTCTGCTATCAGCGAGGCCTCTCAGGACTATTCTAGATTCTAGATTCTAGACACACCAATAAAGATAGACAAAATAAGTCTATCAAACTTTGCAAGGATTGTTGATAGTTCTGCTACTGCTACAATCAATTATGTTACTCAGTACCAGTAATTAGTAACCAGTACCAGTACCAGGTACGAATAACAGTTACCAGAGTCCAGAGTTTACCAGGACCGGAAAAGCTGAGGCAAGGCACAGCCGGAAGCGCGTGTCCTGCGTCATGGCCTGCTGACTGAGACATAAAGTTCTCGACTCGAAGATATGCCAATGACTTAACGGAGCCAGACTTGCTCCCATGCTCGATATGGAACTGTGCCACAAGCTGCATGTCCTCGTCCAAAGCTTGCAGCTCACCGTCCAACTTCTTGATCCTCTTGGAGCCTCCGGACGTGACTGAGCCAGCATCCATGATGGCCGCAGGGTCCGACGCAGGGCGGCTGGAAGCAGAGCTCAAACCCGCTGCAATCGTCAATGGAGGCCCGGACGCCGCAGCTGCAGTGGTCTTCCCAGCTGCGTTCTCCAACGCTCGCTTCTTCTTCTTTGGCTTGTCTGACTCAAACTGCATGTTGTCCAACAGCGAGGATTCCTGCAGGATTCGCGACTGGGCTTCTTCGTCGATCTCCTCCTCCTCCTGTGGCTGCAGCTCCTGGTTCAGCTGGTTCTTGATCTGGGCCGCCAGCTCGATTTCCATTTTTGCAGCGAGACCTTCGATGTGTTGCGCTGTCTTTGGCACCGATGTGATCTTGGGCACGCCCTCTCCGAACGTGCTCTGCATCCACTGGAACACCTCGTTGCCTTGCTTCGGCATGAGTTGTGTCGATCCATTCAAGTATACATCTCGTTTTTCCATGTTGCTCTCGACGAACACTTTGATTTTCAAGAGGTCGTTCCGCGCCACTTCTGATAGCCCCTCCTGCGGCAGGATGTTGGGTGCTACGAAAGAAGCTCACAAACATTCCAGCTCGCAGCGGCGGGGCCCTAAGCCTCTAAGCTAAGCCAAGCTGCCTCATACTGCTAGGCTAGACACGGCTAGACTAGACTGCCAAGCACAGTGGACGGACGCAGTCCAGGGATATCATGAAGTACTTGTTCCCATCCGCGAGCTGGATTGTGTTGAGCCCCAGCTGTTGAGGCGTTTTCTTAAACATTCTCGAGAATTGCGTCAACGTGAGCAGCCCGTACTTGCGGTAGATCATGTAGGCATGGACGGTGCTTTTGCTGACCTCGTTCTGTGGCAAGAATGTCGGCAGGGCCTCATGATTCTTCTGGGCAGTATCCTCACGCACCACGGCTTCGCGTGCAGCTGGGAAAGCCTTGGCCAACTCGGGGTGGCCTTCGTGGTCATTGACCTTGAGCGCAAATATCTGGAACGTATCGCTCGGGCAAAGTCGTCTCCCTGTCGCCATGCAGAAGACATCACCCTCACTCGTTGGATTGCCTCTGTTGTCCGTGACGAACGGGACTTCCTGAGATCAACCGATAGTGTCCGATAGAGTAGGAGTAGAATATAGAATATAGAGGCTATATTACTGTACGCCGTACGCCGCTCAACTGAAGCAAACGAAACTTTGCAATACCTTAGCAGCCTTTGCAATGAGCAGCATCCGTGCGTAGTGTAGCGTAGTCTAGGTGAAGGTCAGTGTAGGTGTAGCAATGTAGCAGTGTAGCAGCAGCGTCGCAGTGTAGCAGGGTGGTAGCCTGGTAGCAGCAAAGTGACGTGACACACCCATCACCAATCATTTTATGCAAGAAACGGTGGAGGGCTTGCGGCACGCCGGGCAATGCAAGAGCCTCGCTGCTGCTGCTGCTGCTTGCCTTCGGATGTTTGCCGGTGGCTCTGTTGCTTTGGCCTTGGCCTTGACCAAATTGCTGCCCGGCTCCTTCTTGACCTTCCAATTTCAATAGAGCAGGGACAACCTGGTTCTCCTCCCCCCCTCCCTGCTTCCCTTCTTAGTCTTAGTCTCCCCAATCTTTGCTCCGGACACATACCTACCTGCCTCTACACTCACCTGCCTTGCTTGATCCTGCCTTGCCATACCAAAATGCACACAGACATATTGTGACATATACATATACATGCACATACAGTCACATACAGTCACATACAGATACACATATACATATACATATACATATACATATACATATACATATACATGTGTGCATGTGTGCATGTGTACCAGTGTACTTCTTTCTGCTTGCATACAAGGGATTCGACCAGAAGTCTGCCGTTTATTCTGTCTGTATATATTTATTCATTATTAATCTACTATGTTACTATTGACTATTGAATATCGTTCCATGCGACTATGTCGAATAGAGGCAGAGGCATTCGGCATGCTATTCCGTTCTATTCTGGCATGCTTCAATGATAGTTGGACCAGACTGGACAACTGGACTCTAGACCTGACTGTCACTAGACTCTAGACTAGACTCTCTAGACGAAGACCGGACCAGACGACAGCATGCTGGCATGCTGGCCTTCAAAGCGGACGCTCTGCTAGGAGGCTGCCCCCCCTGCTTCGGCGCCATCGCAGATAGCAAGCAGGAACCCGGCCGCTCGGACACAAAAGTACTGAGGGGTCTCTCAGCCCAAAACCTTCGGCTTCAATTGCCAAGGGTCCAAGCTGGCTGCCAAGAAAGTCACTGTTGCAGCGGTTGCAGTGTAACGTCGCGTTTCAAGATAGCAGCAAGAGCAGCGAGAGTCGCGAGAGAGAGTTATCGACTCAGATATTGAATCAGCGACTTGTGCTGCAGTATATGGATTTATCTTTTCTAAAGATCCGAATCATGCAAATCTCTTTATCCTGGTGCGGTTTCCTTTTTTCTTTCTGTCTTATGGTAGTCTGGTAGTCCTAGTCATAGTCATAGTCATAGTCATAGTCGTCGTCGCAGCTGTACTGACTCAATTGCCTTGCAGCATGCACACCTGTGTCACTCGCTCTCTGTCCCTCTCCCTCCTTCTCTACTCACTCCACTCACTCTCTACTTAACTCGGCTCAACTCAACTCATTTTACTCGACTCGACTCAACTCGACTCTATCTCTATCTCTATCTCTCTCTCTCTCTCTCTCTCCCTCTCTCTCTCTCTCTCTCTCTCTCTCTCTCTCTCTCTCTCTCTCTCTCTCTCTCTCTCTCTCTCTCTCTCTCTCTCTCTCTCTCTCTCCCCCCCTCTTTCTCTGCATCCTTCCATTTATCGGAGTGCTGCGACGCAACTGTGCTGCAATGGTGCAATGGCTGCAATGGGTCGAAACAGAACACTTGAGGAACGCCGGTCAAGGGAAAGTTTTGAGAGAGCAAAGAGAGCACCTCAAACTCTACTCTAGATTGACATTGTAGATTGTAGACTGTGTAGACTCGCTGCTGCTGGTGCTACTTACTTGCTACAGTGCTACAGTGCTCAGTACACTGCTACCGGGTCACTACCACACTTACCAGCAGCATTCAGTCATCCCTTGTGGCGCATTCACATAAAGCTGCAAGGCAAGCAAGGCCCTCGTGTGGCACAAGAGTCAGTCTGCAGATCCGAACCGCTGAAGGCAATCTAGAATCTATGAGCTAGCTAGCAGCCAGCAGCTAGCAATCTCACAACGCTAGGGCCGGACTAATTTGAAATTTGGACTTAGACTTAGACTTAGACTCTCTGGTCAGGCTCAGGCTATGCCATGCGGCTACAATATTATAGTCGTGTCATGTATGAGTCTAGGTCCTAGGTGAAAGTTCTGTCAGTTCTAATGATTCTAATGATTCTAATGAATGCTTTGCTCGCTGACTACCCAACTACCCGCGACTACCCGGTGACTACCAGTGACAAGCCAGGTCTATGCCACATCTGAACTTTAAACCCACCCACGCAGAACAACAAAACGTCAGGACTGCGACTATGACTACAATTGACTATGGCTGGGGCTAGGCCCTAGGCCCTAGGTAGGCGACGAAGACCAAGACCAGCGACCTGACTCTCGTGAATCAGAGGACTAGACTAGGCCCAGGCTAAACTCGACTGACCGGCGGCTAGCGCGGCTAGCGGCTAGCGGCCAAAAGTGGCTCCGACACGTCCGCCGTGGCTGCCGGCGAATGCGAAGCGAAGCGATGCAAATGGTGGGCTGTGTCCGGTGGTGCCACCAGGCTGCAGGCTCTACAAACTCTACAAATGTTACAATCCGTCAAGACCTTAAAGCCTTACCTGCCTTACCTGTCACTGTACCTGCCTGCCTGCCATTGGCCTAAATTTCAAGTGCCAGCAACTCGGCTGCAACCCGCAACCATGATACGACTGCGACGACTGAACCCCAAACCGGAAGCCTAAGCCTAAGCCTAAGCCTCTATGACTCTATGCCACGAGCCGATGCGAAACTCTGAAACGTAAGCCGAAGCGTCCAAGCCAGCTCAGCAGTTTAGCAAAGTTAAGTTTAGCCTTTCGGTGCGTTTAGCTTAGGCCTTAGGCTTAGCCTTGGCGTGCACAAATGGGTCAAGGGCGTCAAGGGGCTGCCGTTTCTTAGATTCCTACTGTCCTACTGTCCTACCTACCTACTACTACTGACCTGACCTGACTTTCTGGGAGCGCATTCTAGGTGCATTGGAGTCGGCTACGTCAACGTCTGCGCGGCTACCCGCCTACCTGATGCTACGTGTCTACTTGAAGCCAAAGCTTAGTGCCTGCGAGGGCTAGGTCTAGGGGTTTTGGGCTTAGGGTCTTTGGGTTTAGGCAGGGAGCAATGGTGGGTACCGGGTACAGGTACAGTAGTGTAGCAGGGCCGGAAACTCCAGGTACGTCATCAAGTGACTCTGCCTAGGCCCAGGCCTAGTCACCAGTCAGTGCATCTTGGTAGGGTAGGTAGGTAGGGCCGGGCCAGGTAGAGGTAGAGTATATTCAGGGTTTATGCTAATGCCGATAGGCCCTAGGCAGCTTGATATTTAGTCCAGGAAACTGCAGCAGCTACAGTGGTTGCGGCTACGGCTACGGTACAGCTAGAATCTTACTAGAACCACAGTGCTCGATAAACTACTTTAAAGTGGCTGAAACCAGCAATTGCGACTCTGATTCTGAGTCTAGAGTCTAGAGGCTAGAGTCTACCTCTACATTATATAACATTACGTTGCACTCAAATTCTACATGTCACGCTGCAGGTATTTCACAGGGCCTAGGGCCTAGGGCATAGGTGTTGGTTTAGCTGCCGGTAGCCACAAGCCAACAAGATACCCTAGGTCCTAGGCCTTCATATCAACTCGTGGTGCAACAGAGGTAAGTAAGTTCCACAGCCGTAGGGTTTTGGGCGGCCAGCTACATTCTAACTTATTCTAATAATAGTTCTAAGTAATGACTCCAGGATTGGGCCCATGGCTTTGCTGTTGGTAGCTCAGCTTGGTTTTTTGTTGCTGTTGGTTACGCTAGCGGCTAGCTAGCGGCTATCAATGTAATTCATCCTTTCGCTTGGTCGGGTTGGACTAGGACTAGGACTAGGACCTAGCCTTCGCTACCAGCTACCAGTGCAAACGAAACAACAGCGCGAGGTTTGGCCAACTATGGGCGTGCAGCCGCAGCTTTCGTCAATGCAGCAGCTGTGCTGCAGAGACTGTGGCCGAACCACCAAGCCGGCCACCGGTGTAGCCGTGTAGCCAGCCACACGCGAGACCGCGGGCACAGAATGTGGGCAGTCGGGAATCTAGAATCTAGAATTGAATCATCATTGCGAACTAGGACCGAGGACCCAGGACTAGTGACAGTGGCTGTGGCCGGTTACTCCAGCATTGGCAACCATAGAAAACGTGATCTGTGAATACCTAGGACCTAGAATTATTTTATGTGTCCTGCCTGGCCCAGACTCCCTGGCCCTAGACTCGCTGCTGGATTATGAGTACTCAGTACACTACAGCCCTGCCCTGGCACAGCACTTTTTCTCTATGTAATGTATTTGTTATTCGGTGTTACTGTTGTCATGAAACCAGCCGACACCTTGGTGCCCTGCGGTCCCCAGGCCCTGGCCCTAGCAGGGCAATTAAGCGGTAATTACGACATCCAAGTCAAAGACACTGTCCAAATGACAGCAGGCACACACTCACGTGGCTGCTTGCAGATTCATCGGCAGTGCAGGCTAGCCTAGCCGAGCCTACGCCTTGCCTTAGCCTGGCCCTAGCTGTAGCTGTAGCTGCTATGCTGCTATGCTGCTATGCTGCTACACTAGCTAGCTGCTGGCTGCTAACTGCTGCTGACTGCTAACTGCTGCGTTACTGACTGAGTTACTGCTTGCCTAGTGAAGTCCAACTGCTGCTAGCTAGCTGCTAGCTGCTAGCTAGCAGCGACCAGCTACTAGTTACTAGTTCCGATAACTAAACTGCTGGTTCTCTGCCTCTATGTAGACTCTAGCTGCTGCCGGCTGCTAGCTGCTAGCTAACTAGTTGTGCTAGTTTTTAGTTGCCAGGTACCAGTTGCCAAGTACCAGGTACCAGCTACATCGCCGCTTCGTCGTGCGCCTAGGGCCTAGTGACCTAGTGACAAGTAACTAGTAACTGGTAGTGATGACTACTGACTAAAACGGCCAAAGCAGCATGCCCTGCACAACCGAAAAGGCATCAGGCGAGCTACGGCAGGCCCTTGACTAGGTACATTGCCCAAATGACCACGCCAAGGACAGGCAAGCAGATTCCTTCGCCTGCAAGTTGCCGCACCTGGTTGCCAGAGGCAGGCAACTTGTATCCTCGGCGATGACCTTGCAAAAGCATGTACTCCTGTGGTATAAGAACACGATCCCTGCCGTAGGAGTAGAGGATAGTACTCGTCGTCAAACAACCCACGGGCTTTCCAGGGCTGTTTACACTGCAAAACTTGGGGTTCTGCGAGACATCTACATAGGCATCCTGCAGCATGGTTTTCTTGTCTGCGAAACTCATACGCAGTGCAACGGAGGCTGTGGTGCGCTGCAACAAAGCCTGCCATGCGAAAAGGTCAAGAACCTCAAGCACACGCTGACTCTTGGGTAGGCCAACACCCTGCATGTGCGGTGTCCAAGGCTTCATGTCAGCAGGCATCCCCAGTTGCGCTCGCAGCTCACAGGATTGAACCTGCCACGAAGCCCCGCTCTTGTCCTGGGATCCATGGGGTTGCAGGCGGTGTTTGGTTGGTCGTCACTAGGCACTAGTAACACTAGTAACACTAGTAACACTAGTAACTACGCTAGTAACTAGTAGTCAGTAGTCATCGTCATAGCCTGGCCTAGCCTAGCAGTGACGTGACTAGCTGGTATGCTGTTAGGCAAAGCAAAACCCATACCTCACGATTGCTTTGCAGTTCCGACTATGGTTGCCCAGCCATAGTTTCTGAATGATGTCTGAGGCCTGAGGCGCAAATAGTTCGTGGTAGTAACTGGTAGTAGAAACAGTAGTAGTAGGCCTTAAGACCTGCAAGCTTCCAGCAGCCATTGCAGCAGTAGCAGCCGCAGTAGCCTCATGCTATTAACTATGTATTAGTGATGGTTGTTGTTGCTGCTGTTGATGTTATTGTTGTTGTCGTTGCTGTTGCTCCTCACTGTTGTCTCTTGGGGTTGCGTTCCTGTTGCTGCTAGCTGCTAGCTGCTAGCTAGCTGCTACTGCTACGTTGTTGTTCTTGTTGTTGCTGTTGCTGTTGTTGTTGTTGTTGTTGTCGTTGTTGTTGTTGTTGTTGTTCGTGTTGGTTGTTGGTGGTGGTGTTGTTGGTTGTTGGTGGTGGTGTTGTTGTTGCTGATGTTGTTGTTGTTGTTGCTGCTGTTGTTGTTGTTGTTGTTGTTGTTGTTGTTGCTGTTGTTGTTGTTGATGTTGTTGGCGTTGTTGTTGGTGGTGCTGGTGGTAGTGGTGGTGGTGGTGGTGGTGGTGGTGGTGGTGGTGGTGGTGGTGGTGGTGGTGGTGGTGGTGGGGGTGGGGGTGGTGGCGGTGGTGGTGGTGGTGGTGGTGGTGGTGGTGGTGGTGTTGGTGGTGTTGTTGGTGTTGTTGGTGATGTTGGTGTTGTTGGTGTTGTTGGTGTTGTTGGTGTTGTTGTTGCTTTGGTTGCTGTTGATGGTTGTTGTTGTTGTTGGTGGTGGTGTTGCTGCTGCTGCTGGTGGTGCTGTTGGAGTTGATTCTGGTGTTATTGAATGGTGTTGGTGATGGTGTAGTTGCTGCTGCTGTGGTTGATGGTGCTGCTGGTGCTCTGGCTGGGGCTGGGATGGGGCTGGGCGGCTGGGCCTGGGCCATGGGCTGGGGCTGGGGCTGGGCCGGGACTGGGGCTGGGGCCGGGACTGGGGCTGGCGGCTGGAGCCCGGCCCACTGCCGACAATATGCATTTTGGCCGGGGCCGGCCCCGGAGGCAAAATATGCATTTTACACTGTAAAATGCATATTTTCCCTCCCGGGCCCGCCCCGGACAAAATGCATATGCATTTTGGCCGGGGCCGGCCCGGGAGGCAAAATATGCATTTTGCACTGTAAAATGCATATTTTCGGCTGCCGGCGGGCACCGGCCCCCAAATCGAGGGCATATGCATTTTGGCCGGGGCCGGCCCGGGAGGCAAAATATGCATTTTACACTGTAAAATGCATATTTTGCCTCCGGTGCCCGCCCCGGCCAAAATGCATATGCATTTTGGCCGGGGCCGGCCCGGGAGGCAAAATATGCATTTATGCACTGTAAAATGCATATTTTCGGCGCCGGCGGGCACCGGCCCCCAAATCGAGGGCATATGCATTTTGGCCGGGGCCGGCCCGGGAGGCAAAATATGCATTTTACACTGTAAAATGCATATTTTGCCTCCGGTGCCCACCCCGGCCAAAATGCATATGCATTTTGGCCGGGGCCGGCCCGGGAGGGAAAATATGCATTTTACAGTGTAAAATGCATATTTTCCCTCCCGGGCCGGCCCCGGCCAAAATGCATATGCATTTTGGCCGGGGTGGGCACCGGAGGCAAAATATGCATTTTACAGTGTAAAATGCATATTTTGCCTCCCGGGCCGGCCCCGGCCAAAATGCAGCTTTTTCCAATATGCTAAACCGGCCCGGCGAGAAATGCATATTACCGGACCGGGCCAGCGGCCGGCCGCCCCAGCTCCAGCCCCAGCCCCCGCCCCGGCCCCAGCCCCAGCCCCAGCAACAACAGCAACAACAACAACAACAGCAGCAACAACAACAGCAAGAGGAACAGCAACAACAAGGACAGCAGCAGCAACAACAACAACAACCACCAGCAACCACCAACAACAACCAGCAACAACCAACGACAACATCAATCAACACCACCACCACCAACGACGACAACAACAACAACAACAACAACAGCAGCAGCAACAACAACAACAACAACAACAACAACAACACCACCAACAACAACAACAACAACAACAACAACAACAACAACAACAACAACAACAGCAGCAACAATTAACTAACAGTACTAACAGATTAACAGATTAACAACTGTAACAACTGCACCACCACCACCACCACCAGCACCACCACCAACAACAATAACAGTAACTCAGTAACAGTAACATCAGTAACAACATAACGACAGAAACAATAGGAGCAACAACAGGGACACGGTGTCCCAAAACGGAGCCACGGGTTCAGGCACCACCACCACCGAGAGCATTTCCACCTCCACCGCCACCACAACAACAACAACGCCGCCACCACCAACAACAAAAGGAACAACAGGAGCAGCAGGAACACCAGTGATAACATATAACAGGAACAAATAAGCAGCAAGTAGTAGTAGCAGCAGCAACACCGTGCTGATGATGTTGCTTCTGCTGGCGTTGCTGCTGATGCTATTTCTGTTGTTGGTGTTGCTGTTGATGTCCTCGCCTTGCAGTGGAAGTTATTCTTGTCGTTGCCTATATTCCAATAATTTTCACTGTTACTTAGTGTAGTGTTGCCGCAGTGTTGCCGTTGTTGTTCATTGTTGCTGGTGCTGCTGTTGCTGTTGTTGCGGATGCTGCTATTGAACTGCTATGTCTGCTATGTCATGTTGTAGCAACAAGGCAACCGCGAAGGTCATACCGCAAGCCGCAAGCAAACCGTCAGTCAGACAATCACTCAGAGCCCAGATGTCACCTGGCCAAGCGGCATCTTGTGGCATGCGAATCGGTGTCCTCGTTCTCGACTCCTCCTGTACCTGCGCAGCTGCTTGGATGTAGTCCTGGCGTGCAGTGGCCGAGCTGGCTGGGCACTGTCCATGAATGTCTAGTGACTCTAGTGAAGTGAGCAGGACATACTATAGCAGTGAATGTAGCACGGTGGCAGCAATGCAGCGAAAGCCACTGTAGTTGCTAGCTGCTAGCTAGCTGCTAGCTGCTAGCAGCAGGTACCGGGGACCATGTAGCAATGTAGCAGCAGCAGACAACAGAAACATAACGTTGTTGAGGTAACACCTCCCACTGGGACCTTACGTCAGGTCCATGTAACGCCACACTGAGTCTACACTACACTCTACACCCTACACTACACCCTACAATTCACAATGTACAATGAGTGTATAATCTAGAATCTAGAGTCTACAATCTACAATGTGTAAAGTCTAGAGTCTAGAGTCTAGAGCCTAGGCCCAGTCCTAGTCAAGTCTTGTTTGTTAGTCCAAAAGAAAACTGTGGAACGTCCTCACCCCACTCGCCCAACAGCAGATCGCCGATTGGCTTGGCTGCTTCTTCTTGCTGCCGTTGAAGAATTGCCTGTCATAGTTTCAGTCATCGTAAGTCCCAAGTCTTAAGTCTTAAGTCATATACATATCTCACATGCCCCCTGTTGTGTTTCTATATTAAACTATTAAACACTGTTAATCTGTTAATCAAAGCTCCGGGGGCTGGCTTGGCGGCTTGACTTGAACTACCAGTACCAGTAAGGTTACCAGTACCAAACCAAACGTGTTTCACTGGCGGTCACTACCGCTATCGGACGCTATCAACTAGGCACCTCTGCCTATGCCTATGCCAATGCCCTTAGTTCCCCCTGACATCGCCTCAATTTCCAAACAACACTGTAACAACACCACAAACACACACAAGCAGGCAAACTGGATGCCGCAAACAACATCAATAAACACTGAAGACTCACTGAAGACTCAATCCTCAAACCCTGTTTGGGCCTAAAGTCCTAAAGGGCCTAAACTCTAAACTTTCTAACCTCTTCAACCCCGTAAACCCTGAGCCACTATCACTATACTATACTATACTGAACTGCGTAATCCCTGACCTACCTTCGGAATACTTAAAGTTAATAATGGTGACAACCGCGCCGCGAACCGGTGTTTTCCTGAGTACGTCGTACGTCCTACGTCTTCAGACTCGAGACCTACTACAACTGCTTGACAGAAAACTTACTAATTGACTAACTTACAACTCATGACACGCAGCCCGGGTACAACACCCTGTAACGGTAACAGTAACACTGATTAACCTTTAACTTTAAACTTTAACCCTCAGCCTCAGCCGTCCTTAGGCCTGACTCCCTAAAATCTTTCACCCCTAAAGCTACTAAGGCCGCTAGCCGCTAGAATGCTTAGAATAGAATGGCTAGAATGGCTAGAATCGGCTATCTGCGGCGGCTATCTGCTAGCTGCTAGCTTCTAGAGTCTAGCTGCGCTGCTCTAGCTGCAGCTAGAACAGCTAGAACAGCGAAAATTTACAGGTGCCTGGTGCCTGGTACCTTAATTGGGGGCATCAGTCATCACTTAGTCACCACAGCCTGCTGTGCGCTGCTAGCTGCTAGCTGCTGCTAGCTGCGAGCTAGAAGAAATCTAGAATCTAGAAGATCAAACGGGCCTGCAAACTCTCGAAGTCTTGATTGTCTTGATTCCTTAAATACGGCCCTAACCTAACTGCCCTAAACGCCCTCCGGAGTGCCATATGGAGGTCTCTTTAGGATTTATTTTAGCCGCCCTTTTAGCCGCCCTACAACAGTGCCCTACAACAGGGCCTACCGGGCCTCCTACCGATCCCGCAACCAAATCCTGTAAAGCCCGCCGTTTGGAGGATCAGGTAAGCTTAAACTCAAAACACAGATGGTGCTGTTGTTTTGGCACTGTTGATGTGAGCAGTGGTGACCTCAGTGGTGTGTAAGTGTACGTAAATCAAGCTCGACTGGGCCGGGCTTGATTCCTAGATCCTGTACAATGAAAATGTCAACCTGGAGTGCTTGACTCCTTGACACTTGACTGGCGCCAGTTATTCTGGCAATTCCCTTCTGATTCTTGTTACGCAGGACCTTATTCTATACTATACTTTGCTTCAATGGTTCGACGGTCGACCTGGCATCCTAGCAGCTGACTCAAGGTCCTAGGTCCCTAAGCCTACTCCGACTCTAGTAACTCTAGTAGCTACAGCTACAGCTACTATAGCAGCTAGCTAGCAGCTGGCACAACAAGAATCTATTCCTAGATCCTAGGTCTTATCCTAGGCACTGACACTGCCCCCGGGTCGGGTCCATCCACACTCTTGGCATCTGTTGTTCTTCATCAGGCCGAAAAAACACTCCCGGCACCTCAGGCCTGCGCGCACCAACATCTTTGCAGCGGCCCTTGTGCCTCGTGGCAGCCGTGGCGGCGACGTCGGCGCTTCAACACGGTCATCACCAGCACTGCTGCTATCTGCTGGCTGTGTAGCAGCAGCAACAACTGGCTCCAGACTGTTGGCCTGCCCTTCCGGGGCTGGTGACTCCACCAACTTTGCGAACTCAGCACTGTCAAGCAATTCTCCTGGATCGTCCATCATCATCTCTGTGTCCGAGAAACTCGGGCGTTCATGACGAACGGAGCCCGGTGGATTTGCCGCTTCATCGCTGGAGCCAAAAAGTTCAGTGTACGTAGGACTGCCCACCGGCGGTTCCTCTGACATGTCCGAATCCGAGGCTGTGCGTCGAATGTCCAGGAACTCCCAACCTGCCTCCATCTCTGCCCACGCCGCCTGCCGCCAGACTGGCTTGCCCTCAACGGCAGCAAAGTCGATGGGCCCAAAGGGATCATCAATCATAGAATCGGCGTCCTCATCATCGTCCCTGTGGTCTGGAGTAGCAAACCGGTCAGTCATACTCCCGGAGCACTGAGACCGCTGAGACTGAGAGTCATCATCTGGGTTGGGGTTGGGGCTGGTGCAGCTGGGACCGAGCGCTGAAGAAGGTCTGGGTCTCAACCACTGGGTTCGGAGAAAGCATTCTGGACTGATGCTCGGCCGGGGCTGTCTGGGTTCTTGCACACGTGGCAAGATCTCTTCGAGCTCAGTCAAGCGAGAATGTACGGCCAGGCTGGCGTAAAAACCGAGAGGTCCTGCCGCCAACTCATCCAAATGCTTTCTCTCCAAGTCGATTGCACGTGCTCTGAAATCCGTGATCAATTCTGGCACGGGTGTTCCGGCTGCAGCCGACATCCTGAACTGAATGATCAGATGATCTCAGGTTCAGCAACAGACTGATCGGTCCAGGTACTACTATACAATGCTCGCGGCTGCTCGCGGATACAGCCACAACAGCCCCGGATGCACCGTTCAATCAGTGACGTCTAGCGGGCCTAGCTGCCTAGCTAGCAATACGCTGCAGCTACCAGTACCGGACCTAGGACCTAGGAGTAGTCGTCGTAGTAGTAGTAGTAGTAGTAGCAGTAGCAGTAGCAGTAGCAGTAGCAGTAGCAGTAGCAGTAGCAGTAGCAGTAGCAGTAGTAGTAGCAGTAGTAGTAGCAGTAGCAGTAGCAGCAGTAGTAGTAGTAGTAGTAGTAGTAGTAGTAGTAGTAGTAGTAGTAGTAGTAGTAGTAAGTAGTAATCAGTAATCCTAGTCCAATATCAATAGTAGTAGTCGCAGCAGCAGCAGCCAAGTAGCAGCAGCAGTTGTATTCATTGAAAACTAGGCCCAAAAAGCCACCAAACAATAAATAATTTTCTCAATGACTCCTACACCTACACTGACCTACCTAGACGACCTAGACCTAGAGTCCTAAACTCGACCTACACGTCGATTGTTCAGTCCAGACAGAGTCTGGAAGCCTAAACTCGAAACACTATCACTAGACTCTAGAGCCTATCCGATCTATCCGACTCTCTGTTTAACTAACCGCATTGCAGCTGACACACAGGACTCACTGACTCATTGCACTGGATCCCTTGAATCTGCATCCGAACACTGCCGAACACCTTCAAATTTGGGAGCCTGAGCAAGCTGACAGTAACAGGACGGTCACCCCCGCAACCTCTCCAATGCCCTCATGACTAGTGTCTGCTTCGCCGCTTCAAACAATCTTATAGTCATTATAGTCTAGTCTAATTGTCAGGAAGTAGCAACGGCACCTGGTAACCGTCAACCAACAAACCCAATGCAGTCTAGAGGAGTCTAGAGTCTAGAGTGGTCTGGTTCCTGGTCTTACAGATCAACCACTAGATTCCCTAGATCACTACTACTAGAGTCTAGTCTAGTCAGTCTAAGGAGGAAACAAAGCTACGGACAGCAGCGGCTCGTACGTACATGTATTAGTATAATATAATAATAGGAAAAATAATAATAGTAGTTATAATAATACTAATAATAACAACAATAATAACAATAATGATATATATTATACTATTACGAATGCACATCACGCAAAGTACACAGGCCTGAAGGATAACAGATAACGACAACAACCGGGTGGGCCTGCCTCCACGGTGCGCTTGAAAAATCTCACATCCTCGGCAGTGTAGATGTCCTTCCGGAAGAAGCAGATGAACATCCTGCGCAGCACGAGCGTCTGCGGCGACCGGCTGTGCAGCGACTGTTGGGACGGTTAGGGCAGGCATTTAGGATCGGAAGGCCGTAGGACCCGTAGGAACTGCTCTACTCAACTCTCTAGCACAAGGCCTGGAGATGCACACGATAGCAGATAGCATCCGATAGCAGCGACATTATCGTATGTGAAGCGCTCTTTCACAAGGCATCGGTGTTCGACAATGTCTCTGCAGTGCAGCTCAACTCAGCATTGCCACTGCCACGCAGGATTTCAGGACTGCAGGGACGATGCTGCACGATGCTATGACGCTGCTATGAGTATATTGTAGAGACACTGATCGCATGATCCTGATACTGGCGTCCTTGCCTGCCGAAAAGAACTAACTAAGAGAGTATGAGTATGCAGCACTATGGCACTATGGAAGAGTCCTGGGCTCTGCGGGCTCCTGTGGCCCACGAGGACGCTCCAAATCTAAAATCACATTGGATCCGGCAAGGCCCTCGAACCAAGCACGTGCCTCCGAACGGGCAGCGTGCGTCTCTGTGCCCATCGCCACATGCTCTGCCTGGTTGCTCGCTTGGTCTGCAGACCTCAACCAAGTGATGAGAGATCCGACGGGGCGTCCTGCTCCTGCACGGCCTGCAGTGGTCTGTCGCTGGCGTCTGCAGGACTGCCCATGTCCCGGACACTTGCAATGTGCCCGCAAAAAACCTTTGGCATTGAAACGGATCTCAGCGTCGAGACCAAAGTCCTTCATGTCAAAGACAATCTCGGCTTGCCGCGGCGCTCGCCCAGCCGCTGGTGCTCGTGCGGGTCTGGGATCATCCGGATGAGACGCCTCGCGCCGAGGACGTCTACCAGGACGGGCACCGTCGTCAGCAGCGCGCGGCACCTCCGGCTCTTCGCCTCCGCCCGGCTGCAGCTGGCCACCTTCGCCTCCATCCCCGGCAGCTGCCTGAACAGCCACGAGGTCATCCAATGCTCTCCAGAGGTCCTCATCATCATCCGACCCAGCGTCTTCGGCCTGCAAATTTGCCTGCGCAGCTTCTTCTGCAAAGGCATAAACCTCGTCGAGATCCATGTCAAGATCACTGTCATTCAGCTCCTGCTCTTTGTCAGACTCGTCGTTGTCCTGCTGCGCTGCTTCTTCATCCGGCAACATGTCTTCATCCTCCTTCTCCTCCTCCTCATCACGCCCATGCTCTTCCATAGGAGCCGCAGGTCGTTTTCTGCTTGGCCCGTTCCAGAACTGAACCGGCGGCTGCAAACTTTCCACGTCCACATACATTGGCATCATCCTGTCAACAGCAACTGCTTTGCCGTCTGAACAAACCTTCATGAAATGAGCTCTGCATGGCCGGTTTGGGTCCAGGTAGGTCGCCAGGAAGTGCAGTAAGCTCTTGACCTCCAAAACTTCAGTTGCATCACAGCCGCAAACACGAAGGGTGAGGCACGTTTCCTCCCTTGCGTCTTCCTCCAGCCGCAAGCACACAAACTCCCATGTTCGCAGATTAGAGGCCCCTAGGTGCAGAAACAGCTCTGTGGATTCCTCGGCCCCACCAACACTGCACAGGTGGAGAACCACACGCCAGTCCTCCAAAAGGCGACGTTGAGGCGTCGCAACCTTGTTCACTTTCTGGAAGAACGTCTTCATGGCTTGGATCAGAGCCTTGTTCATCTTCTGATGTTGTTCTTTCTTGCACACACAGAAACCCAGTTTCAAGCACGGCTCCTCCTGAAACAGTTTGGTCTTATCCACCTGGATGGGTTGCTGCTTGTCGTGCTGCACAATGTTGTGGTCTTTCTGCCAGCGATCCTCGAACGCAGGCAAGGCGATACCCCCTGCTTCCAGCCCAGCGTTCGCAAGCACGTCCTGCCCAAAAAAGTGAAGTAAATAAACCCTTCTGTTTTTAGTCTTAGTCTTAGTCACTGGTCTTAAGTTAGTCATAGTCATAGTCGTAGTCTTAGTCAAACTCAGTATATACGACATATACGACAGTACGAGGAGAGAAGAGAAACAACCCTAAGGCCCTAAATCCTGAAGTCCTTAAACCTTAGAGTCTGAGACCCTAACCAGCCAATACTTCCATTGTCCAACCCTTATAAGTTACTGCTACAGGAAGACATTTACTGAAGTTACTGTTGCTTTGACACTGATGGCATCGAAGTGGGTTCCGGGTTTCGGTGAAACTTAGGACCTAGACCTAGACCCACCACAGCATCTAAAGTGAATCTCAACGTCCTCGGCCAGCGGAAGAACAGGCATGCGCCAGCAGTACCGTGTCAAATGGGAACCCAGCGGCATTGGTATCTCCATGGCACCATCCAGAATGCCTTCTCCACCGTACCGAACCATCGCATTGGCCAGGCCTGCATCTCTTTCGACCAAATCGAAACCGGGTCGAACCGGGACTTTCTTGCTAGCTGCCGCTTCCCTGGCTGCACGGGCATCGGCATTCACTTTGTCGCAGAAGGCTCGCAGCCTGCCTTGGAAGTTGGACGCAGGCATCTGGGTTACCAAACAGTCTGTCTGCAGAACCTCCGCGACTGTCATGTTCCCCAGGCTGGCACGTAGTGGCACGACTTGCAACTGAGACTCCTCAGCGGCATACCTCTTGACCAAAGTCAAGCGCAGTGCTTCCTCCCGCCATTTCTCCCTTTCATCTGGAGTCAGCTGCCTGTACTCTTGAGCAAAAGCTCGTTGAGATGACCCATGGAAGCGTTGGCCGCGCATTTTCTCAGATAGAAAGGCCACATAAGCACTGATGGCTCGGCGACGTTTGGGCACCTCACGGACGCGAACCACATTACTCATTCTAGATTCTAGCAGCGAGCAGGGTTCTAGCAGGAATCTAGCAACTACTAGACTCACCAGACTTGACTAGACTACGCGCTTGCATTCTTTCTATTGTTGCCATTGTAGCCGCCTTTTGTAGCTGTCTGCACTGTTCGATTCTGTTCTAGATTCTAGCCGGACACACATGACTGCCTAGGTCACCAAGAATCCTTCCAATATAGCCGCCCCCGTCCTAAACTCCTAGACTACTTGGACTCGACACAGACTCCTGACTCCTGGACTTGGACTTGGACAAGACTCAGACTCGACCACCACCCAGTCCCCCAGACTCCAGACTCCAGACACTGTTGAACGAAAACAAGAAAGGCAACACAGCAACACGGCAACACCAACATGCTGCCTCCTGTAAGACTCTACGAGTCACTCTACTCTACTCATCCCATGTGCCTTCTCCTTCTTGGCCGATTCCGTAGGCTTCCCGTGGTGTTTGTTAATCCATCTGCAAAGGCTCTTGGCACTCACCTCTGACAGTGTCGGCACATGTCCTCTGCCCTTCTGTAGTGTAAAATCGCGAACAGCCGCATGTCCTGCTTCCACCTGCGCCACATCTGTGTCTGCCAGGAGACACACCGTTTCCAACACTGCGCGAGCACGCTGTGATGACATAGCTGCAGGAGTGTTGTGCTTCTTCAGGAACTTGTCCGAAAACTCGTCCCGCATGCATGGTGGGCGGTCTAACAGTTTTTGTTTGTCCGCGTCCGATGTGCTGGTATCCACTGCCCGAAACAGGGCGTACGGAAACCCTCGGTGAGCTCTGCCAAGGTACAAGTCAAGGTTGCACAGGGCCGCAGAAAGGCCGGCAAAAAACAGTCCACGGGCCCGCCGTGTGTGACAACACACTGGTAATCCGGCAGGGATGTCGGGTAACATAGCACGGATGTCCTGCACCACTTGATCCACGAGGTTGCCGCGAGCCGATTCGAGCAGCCGGTACGTTCGCGGCTCACCTCTCTGGGCCTGCCGTTGCTGCTGAGTTTCCCACTCCTCCCCAGAAATTTGCAAGAGTCGCCCCATAAGCTTTCGTGTCGGCTCAGCCACATGCCTGGCACAAACGAGTCTCCTGGGCACGGCGATTCAAACAGCACAAAACATCACAAACAACAAAAAAGCCACGGGCTAGATTCTGGCTTAGGCTGCGTATAAGTAACTGTACAGTCGGGTGAAGTACGGCGGAGCTTGAAACAGTCTCAGTAACAGGTAACAGTAACCGTAACAGTATAGTATATTGTATTGTATGTGGAACCGAGCTCCCTGGCAACACGCAACACTCAAACATACCCTGCGTAACCGGAAAGAAAAACAATCGACACTGTACTGTAGTGGTTTGTACATCCTGGTCTAAAGCTAAAACATCGTTAATTTGGTTATAGTATTATAGTAATTATAGTAGCAGAGCAAAGACAAAAGCGCTTAGAACTGATTAGCCGCCAGCTTCTATCTACCTATCTGCCATTTGCTGTTAATTGAAAGCTGAAACCTGAATATATTGGTGTGTGTGTGTGTGTGTCAAAAATCTCACATCGCAAACATCCTTTGGCCAAGATTCTCCATGAGAGACGCACGACATGCGAAAACACCGGCTTTCCTCTTGCGTCGCAGTTGCAGCTCGTGCCAATCGACCTCACCGTCTGGCAGCACAGGTGCTGCGGCCTCATCGTGATCCCCGGTCTCAGCCTCACCCACACCGGAGCCCTGTGCCAGGATGCCATCTACCAATTCCAAAACATCCGTGGCTGCAGCATCTGGATGCGCGGCTTCGGCAAAATTTTCCGCCTCGTCCTCATCATCCCTGGATGCATTTGCCACTGGAGCGGCTGTCGCTGATCCAGTGAATTTCACCATGATCTTGGTGAAGAGGCACCAGAATGATTGTAGCAACCCCGCCCACTCCATGGATTGCTCTGCATCAGTCCAGCTCTTCCTCTTGAGCATCGGGCACTTTCGTGGCAGGAAGGCAAGCACCACTGTTGTAGCGAAACGATCTGCCGTTTCCTGCCTGCTGCTACAGCACGAAAAGCTGCAATGATGGACTATGCGGTCTTGGGTGATGTCGCTGTTGCAGTAATACTGCAAGATGAACTGCCGCTGCTGGTTCTTCAGGGGCGAGGAAGCACCAGGGTGAACCGGACAAAAAAGATCCAGTATTTGCCTTGTGTGATTTCGGATGGAGCCGCCTGGTGCCGGAGAATGTTCCACGATAAGCTCCTTCTCGAACACGTCCTGCAGGACTTGCCTCAGCACTGCCAGCGATCCACCGCCTTCCATGCTCAGCCCGGTATGAACCAAGCCCGATGTCACCTCTTCGAAAGGTCGAAGGCTTTTTTGGATCACGGCCGATGCCTTATGAACGTCGCATGGAAATATTGTGCGGATCATCTTCGGTTGCGAACACTTGAAAGAATCTTCAGCCTTCAGATTGGCAGCGTATCTGTCGATGCAAGCCAAACGCACCTGCTCGGGGTAGACCGACAGTTGCCGATCGAGATCTGGAACACGATCCATTGCTGCCTGAATCGCGGCGGCTTGTGTTTCTGCTGTTGTCCGTTCCAGAGGAACCATTGTCACCGGAACGTCCACTGTCATCAGTCTGTGGCCACATGTGGCAAGATCATACATCAACAAGCCTGTGATCCAGAATGATTTCGTTTGTTGCCTTATCAAAGCCCTAAATGGAGGCCTATGACTATGGGCCTATCACTGAAATGAAGCACAAGGATTATAAGGATAACAACTGCATTAAAATGAAGTGTCGTGTGTAGAAGTGTATGAGTATATCGTAGAATCGTAGAATTCACAGAAGAGTGCCAAGGAACCGATGGTCCAGTCGATTCGTAAAATCTTGATGTACTTGTAGGACTCTTTTAAGTGCCCATCGCGGTCCACAAAATCAGGAATGAACTGCTGCACCTCATGAAGTCTCATGCGCAGAGGAGTCTCGTCGTATCGGAATTTGCTCACAGCCATAACTGGTTGCATCCTGTTGAACTTAAACCACCTAGAACACATTCCCAGCATGGCTCCTACGAGCCAGCACCCACCATGCAGCAATGCTGCTGCGAGCTGAAGAAGTGTTCGCTGCAGTGAGCGACGTGAAGTGTCGGACACATCTTGCACCACTGTCATTGACCAGTGCTTTGCAGAACGAACCAGGCAATCAGTCACCGCCACCACGGCTTTCCGCAGCTTTGGCCTCTGATGAGGGTGTCCCGCTGTAGCAGCACAGTAGCGCTGGAAAATCTGCTTCTGAAAGCAGCCCCCCAGCTGAGACAATGCGGCTCGTGGGCCAAAGATATCACGTAGATCAGGATTCGCAGCTGGCCGAAACGATTCTTCAGGAACTGCAGGCATCAAGTCGTCTACGAGCCCCATTAACTCATCTGCTTCTAAAGACCTTGGCTGTGCAGGCACCAGTTGCGCAGCCACATCATCTGGCTGGCTGTCACAGCCGTCAGCCTCATCCAAAGCGTCCACGTCGAGCAGGCCATCGATTAGGGAACTCACGTCTAAGTTGGCGGCGGCTGGACCATCAGCCATGTCGCTTTGTTGCGAGGGGCTCTACGTCTACGGTTCTAGTTCTGGGGCCTCTGGGGCTTTCTGTTCCATATAGGGCGGGCAGGAGTGCAAGGAACAAGTCACCAGGTGACCAGCTGCTAAGTAAAGGGCAACTCGCTGGCTGCTAGCTGCTAGCTGGATGGATATGTACGTAGACGTAGACGTAATGACGTAGTGATGTAGGTGGGTTCGGGCGGGTAGGTAGATAATGCAGCAATGCGGCGGTTGATTCAGTGCATTGGTTCACTGTTTGAGAATGCGGCATATCAGACGAGCCTTGAATCTGATAGCGGCTAGCTAGCCAGCCACTACCTACGACCTAGCCGGACCTAGCCGCTAGAAGCTACAACACACAAACATCCTGCCACACTTCTACGATTAAGCCAGCTCTAGAGCACATATCGCAGGATTTCAGAACGCAGCAGAGTTACAGCTACCTGCTACCGGCCAGCTACCGGGCAGCCACAGCTACAGGTACAGCAACAGCGGCAGCTACGACGTAGCCTGCTGCTACAGTGCTACAGCTAGGACCGCAGCCGAACAGCAGTGGTTTCACGACTCCTAGCCCTAGCCTAGCTCTAGGTCCCTAGGTCCTAGGTTCTACGTCGACGTATACTTTCCAGGCAGCTGCCAGCTAGCACCTAAGCCTAAGCCGCCACAGAGATTCAGATACAGATACAACCCTCGGTCGGCCAAGGTGTAATCAATCAGTGTAGTCAGTGTAGGTAGTCAGTCTGTCTGAAGTCCTGTTGAGCCTGAACTTTAGCTGCTAGCTGCCCTAGGGCCTAGGCGGTACAATGTACAACCCTCAGCTACTACTCCCACAATCCTACAGTGTTCCCAAGTCAATCCTGCAGCAAACAGCAAATGGGAGTCAAGCAATGGGTTCGGCCGGGCTGTTCGACTACTACTTCACATGAAAACTGAAGTGGCCTTCTGCTGTTGCTACTGACTCAGCTACCAGCTACTGGCAGCTACTCGGCTGCTGGATCCTGCTACTGCTACCTGCCTTGGGGACTCCCCTATCGAATCTTGCGAATGCTTGGTAACTGGTAACCTTGGTAATGGTACGGTACATGCCCTGCGGCAGTCCTTGGGCGGCTGATGTGGATCCAATCAGATGCATCCAGAAGCAGCTTGGCAACCCAATACCCGCCGTGTTTCCAGGTCTGGGACGCCATGGTCTTCAGAAACCTGAGGAAAAAGGCAGCAAGGCTGGGTTTAGGGTTTAGGGTTTAGGGTCTGGGTTGAAGGGGACCGACTACAGAATCCACGATAACACTCAAAACGTGTGTGTCACTGTGTCATGAGCATTAGCTGCGCTGTCACTAGCCTAGCTCACTAGCATCACTAGTCACTAGCAGCATGTTGCCAGCCTGGTAAAGAGAATACTACGTCACTTCAGCAAACGAGGCTACTTAGTTCAGCAAAGGGCTTTGAAGCTGGTGTCTCCAAATCTGCTTGGCTGGTCTTCATGTCGAAACCACGGACTTGCTCCATGATAGCTGCACGAGGTTCCCACTTTCGATAGAGCCCAACAACGCCCGACATGGTGGTCTCTGTCATGTGGTGAAGCTGCACTGATTGGTCACGAAAGCGTTTTGCTCGTTGTTTCGAGAATGGATTGCAGGGGCTGCCAGTGAGGGCCAAACTGATGTTGCCTACCGCATCAATGCGGCAATGCTCGCAATCTGCATGCTTCGTACAGGGGCGCCCCTCTAGCATATCTTCCAAGGTCTCATACAAGTGCTGCAGCCGGGAACCATGATTGGCCTGAATCACACGCCTGTACTCTGGCTGCTTCTCTGCGGCAGCCACTGCAGTGAAAGGTATGCCCAAGGCCTGCAGTGTTCATCACGAACAATCAATGGCTAGCGGCTAGCCGCTAGGGCCGCTAGGGCCGCTAGGGGCGGCTAGGGGGCAGAGAGAGAGAGAGAGAGAGTGAGTGAGAGAGAAAGAGAGAGAAAGGAGATAGGGGAGCGAGAGAGAGAGAGAGAGAGAGAGAGAGAGAGAGAGAGAGAGAGCGAGCGAGAGAGGGCGAGAGAGAGAGAGAGTGAGAGAGAGAAAGAGATAGAAAGAGAGAGAAAGAGAGAGAAAGGAGATAGGGGAGCGAGAGAGAGAGAGAGAGAGAGAGAGAGATAAAAAAAAAGGGAGGGAGAGAGACGTGTGCACATACAATGTCACCCGCTCATCACAGGTTTGACTGCTTGACTAGCCGACTAGCCTCCGACCTGTGGCATATACACACTCTCGCCTGCTCATCACAGATTGACTAGCTGACTAGCCGAGCCTCCAACCAGTGGCTTACAATGGCTTCACTGCTTCACGAACGGCTTCCAAGCATGTTGCCCACGTGCCTTCAGGACTTCCGCTTCAGCGAAGCAGCCCGTGCAGGCAGAGAGGACAGTGCGGGTCTGCTTCACTGTTGTCAGTTCTGCTTCACAACGCACAACGCCTCTTCCAGCAAATCTTGCATGTTCCTTGATCTTGTTCGCCCACCAGCAGCTTGTTCTTACAGGTAATGATGGGTCTGACGACTGACTCTCCTGTGGGCTAGATGAGCGGGAGGACTCTGAGTCATCACCAGCTGAACTTGTGAAAGCCCTGGCATTCTCGGCAGCTTGCAAATCATCTGCATCTCGTTGAGAGGATTCTAGCAAACCTTCGACCGCTAGCTCTGTTGTGTTGCTCCGCCTCAAGAGCTCTCCGACTAACCGGGAAACACACTGATCATCTGTAGTAGCAGCAGTCTGAGGCGTGGCAGCTGTCATGGCCGTCTACCAGGGGGCCTGCTGCTGCAGCTGCTACCAGCTACCATGAACCGATGATGCCAAAAGAATCTGTTCCTCGCTTCTGCTCATGCCGTTCTTGATATGGGTCTGTCGATCACTGCTTGACCTTTAGCCAAACTCAATGCAATGAGCGGCGACCTTCACAACGTTCCACCTGCACTACGGCGCTGCCGCTTATGCATTCCTAGATAAGAATACACGCATTTCAGGGAGGATGCATTGATGAATATGCATTTCTGAATATGCATTTCAGGGAGGATGCATTTCTGAATATGCATTTCTGAATATGCATTTCAGGAATATGCATTTCTGAATATGCATTTCTGAATATGCATTTCAGGAATATGCATTTTCAAATATTGGAAACATATGCATTTTGCAGCTTGGCCGATAACAGGTGGCCTTATCTGAATGCCCGTCATAAATCAAAAACCCGGGCCAAGCGTACACGGCCTTGAGTCGCGTGCCCAAAATGTCTCTGGCCGCACTGAAGAAGTTCAACCGAAACAGTCTCATTTACAACAAGGACGCAGAGTGGGCGCTGACGACACTGTATTACGCGCAACACAAGCTGCCCACACACAGCAATGAAGGCATCGAAGCCCTCTGGCAAACCCTCGCCGCCGCACACGAAAAGCCGATCCACTACAAGAACAAACTCGCAAAGCTGCAGAAACCAGACATCTTGACCACTGACCTCTTCGCGCACAGGAAAAAGCCTGCAAAACTACAGAAGAAATCCGGCCCGCCCCCAGCTCTCAAGCCCGGCAGAACAAGTTGCTGCGACAAGCAGGCCAGCCAACCCGTCTCACGACCAACGCAACGAGCCAAAACCCGAACTGCCACGGCGACAACCACGAGAAGCTCAGCAATCTTTTTCCAAAAACAGCAACGAGCTCTGTGCGGATTGCACGCACTCAACAACGCTCTAGGTGACGACATCTTCGGAGAGGCAGACCTCGTCTACGCCGCCAATCAGTTTCTGCTCGAGAACCCGGAACTGCAAGACTGCACCGAGGACCACATGTCCGGCAACGGCTGGTTCTCGTCCGAGGTCCTCAGCACGGCACTCAATACGAAGGCCATGAGCCAGCACGACCGAGTGACCTGGCGGCTCGACCTCAGGCCACTAACAGCACCAGAAGACTTGACTAACTACGTGGGAGCCCTACAAAACCAGGACAACCAGCACTGGATTGCGTACAGATGCTTCAACGGCGAGTACACCAAGCTCGACTCACTCAAAGCCGGCCCCACGATCGTCAGCAGGAGCGCTTTCCTGCAAGAATTGCGGGAACATCCCCACACGTACGGCATTGCCAACATCTAGTGAGCCTGGCATTCAGCCGACACACACGCACGAGCAGGCAAGCAAAACACTGGAACCAGAAAACGTAGTAGTAGTAGTAGTAGTAGTAGTAGTAGTAGTAGTAGTAGTAGTAGTAGTAGTAGTAGTAGTAGTAGTAGTAGTAGTAGTAGTAGTAGTAGTAGTAGTAGTAGTAGTAGTAGTAGTAGTAGTAGTAGTAGTAGTAGTAGTAGTAGTAGTAGTAGTAGTAGTAGTAGTAGTAGTAGTAGTAGTAGTAGTAGTAGTAGTAGTAGTAGTAGTAGTAGCAGTAGTAGTAATAGTAGTAGCTCACCGCACGGCCAGGCCCCTCCCGAAATGCCTTTCCCGCAAGCTTCCGCGCCCGAGACCAATTTAAGCTTAGTAGTAGTAGTAGTAGTAGTAGTAGTAGTAGTAGTAGTAGTAGTAGTAGTAGTAGTAGTAGTAGTAGTAGTAGTAGTAGTAGTAGTAGTAGTAGTAGTAGTAGCTGGCCACTGCTGTCGCAAGTCGCGAGACTAGTAGTAATAATAGAACCAGTAGGATTAATGTATCAGTAGTAGTAGGTAGTAGTAGCATTGTAAGTGCCGAAAGCATCCTTTGTTTGACCATCCACATTCATCGTATGTTTTTGAGACTGTCTTCCTCCCACTTCTCATTAAACGGGTTTCCTACTGGCCATTGCTGTCGCCCATGGCCTTCTCATCCCCCGATGAATGCGCCGATGGCAAAGGGAAGAGCCCGCCGAGTAAGACCAAAAGGTCCAGGAAAGTTCAGTTGGCCGCCAATGCAGCAAAGGTAAGATAAGACGCAGAGTTTGTCCAGACACGTCACATTCATGTCTGTACGATGCGATGCGCCCTCGCACGTCCTCCGTGATGGCAGCTTTTGGCGGCTCACGCGCAAACAGGCGGACCTGTTCACCTGTGAACATCGCCGAATCATGGAAAGGTATCTCATCCGCAAAGTTGGTTCTTGGCCCAGTCAGGAAGAGAAAGCGCTGCAAAAGTCAGAACGACGCACGGAAAGACAAGCCCATGTCAAGGACACGGTGTTGTTTGGCGGCTTGCTGCTCGATCATCTGTCGCATTGGCATCCGTGCCGCGAGGGAATTGAGCTTGAACTGAACGCACCGAGTCTGGAAGATGCCTGGTCGCTTCTTCAGCTCAGCGGTACTTGTAAAGCGGGCGCTCGCTGCTTCCACTCGGCTGGGCTGCAAGCCCTGGTGCACCATCTCAGCAAAGTCAAACGGTGCTTAATGAGGCACACGGCCCGCTTGGAGGAGATCCTGCTGAACTGGCTGCAGATCGCCGACCGGACACTGACGGAATGGCCCCAGTTCTGATCCGCACCAGCACGTGCCGCGAGAGCACTTCGCATGTGGCGCGCCGAGCAACAAATACAGAAACAAACACTCGCCGCCTATTTGAATTGTCCCGGCCCGTTTCATTGCAGCCGTCGCCATGAAGTGCGCCGAAGACCCGAACCGACAAAAGAGAGGAAAGATCGCAAGCGCAATCTCGCCATTGTACTCAAGACCTCGCAAGAGCCTGTCTCGCGCCCCAAGGTTGACACTTGCACGACAATCGCCGCGATCATTGCGGCTCAAGAGACACCAGCGAAAAGCTAGCAGACTATCGCCAAACGATCCCCCCCCTTCCAGCTTCCCGTCTCGTCAAGCATAGTCTCGAATTTCGGAAGAACCGAGCGAACCTTCTCTGTGCGTCTACTATCTACATCAAATTCAGCATTATTACATCATCCATGTATGCTGCATCAACCTCGCGACGATGATACTCGTCGCTGTGATTTTGGATGATGATGGCAGATGTAGGGTGTACAAGCGATGGCGATGGTGTTCCACAAGAAACAAACGTTTGCGCACGATCTGGTTTATCCCGAATCGGAATGACGATCGTGATGCCGGTATTGGCAACTTTTGCATACCGCCAATTACCTGCCCGCCCTGCCCCTCCCCCTCCCTCTTCCCTTTCGGTTTCCCGCCCAACCTGCTTCGGCATATGTCTGCATCGACTGAGCAAAACCTATTCTTGCGCCTGGTGTTCCACAATAAAAAAACGTTTGCGTGTGATCTCGTTTATCCCGCATCGGAATGGTGATCGCGATACTGGTATTTGCAACTTGTCCACACTGCGAATTACGCGCCCGCCCTGCCCCCCCCCCCCTCGCTCCTCCTCTCCCGACATGCTTCGGTCTATAAGTTTGCATCGACAGAGCAAAACCCGTTTTTGCGCCTGGTATTCCACAAGAAACAAACGTTTGCACACGATTTTGTTCATCCCGCATCGGAATGACGATCGTGATACTGGTATTTGCAACTTGTGCACACCACCAATTACGCGCCCGCCCTGCCCCCCCCCCCATAGCCCCAGCCTCAGGACGTGAACTTGTTATGCGACTTGAAAGACACAATGATGCTACTGGTATCTGCAAGTTTCTCGACGGATTCGTGGTTTCCGGGGATCGGCAGGGGTCCCGCCTGGAGGCCCCCCCGTGCCTCCTGCTATGGATGCCTCTGGGTCGGTGGCCCGCCCCTGCCTCCTGCTGTGGATGCCTCTGGGTCGGTGGCCCGGCCCCTCCCTCCTGCTGTGGATACCACTGGGTCGGTGGCCCGGCCCCTGCCTCCTGCTGTGGATGCCCCTGGGTCGGTGGCCGGGCCCTTGCCTCCTGCTGTGGATGCCTCTGGGTGGGTGGGGGACCTCGAGATCGGC